TGTGCAAAGCACTCTGCTGGGTGCTTTGAAAAATAAAGCTCTAAGGGCTTTCTCTCCCTCCAGGGTATCATACTGTAGTGAGATATAATGTGGATAAGCAGTTGGTCATAGAACATACAATAGCCAGTTGATCACAGGTCCTTCAGCAATTCCAAGTTGAATTATCATTTTTGTTGACCCAGTTCTCTTGAAATGATCATTTCAGTTCACAACATCACCATTCAGCCAGTCATTATGGCTAGAAACCCAGACACCAACCCAGATTGTTCTCTTTCCTTCACCTGCCAGCACCTGCCAGTCATCATCCTACCTCGTTGACTCACAGTCCTTAGGCCTGCCATTTTTCTTTATCCTAACTGTCACTGCATTGGTTTCAACAGTTTTCATTCCTTTTGTAGACTGTTGCTGTGACTGTTTTAGTCTTCTGCCTGTTTGTATTCTTAATTGCCTCAAATCTGTTGTGCAGACTCTAGCAGTTTGACATAATGATATGACTGTTTGTCGTACTTGTTTAAATTTAATAACACCTGCTGTCTGTCTATAGGATCAACCTCATCCTTAGGAAAGAAAAGACCTCCAGGATCAGGAAGTCCTCCCCTCATCATTTTATGTTGATTACCAAATATGCTTTATGGACCTTGACCTTTGCTCAGGTTGTCACTGTCTCCCCAGAAGGGTATTTGCTCTTGTGCTCACCTGCCTGACTCCCATCATCCTTCAGTCCTTCCCCTCAATCCTTCCCTTACCCTTAATGGAATATTGCTCTCATCCACCTAAATATTACTCTAGATTCTTCTACTAAGAACTGTGTCTGTGTATATATCTACTACTAGATGCATGCTGCTCAAAGATGGGCACTGGGTTAATGCAGCATTGATCCTCAGAAAGTACCTGGCATATAATAGATAATAAAGATTTGTTGACTATATTGGATTGACTATTTATTAATCTAAGTGTTATAAAAGAAGTATAAATATCATTACCCTCTCTTTCTCAAGGATTAGATGTTTTGTTTATTGGCTTTTAGCTCTCTATTTATTCTGATCTAACTGAAAGGTGACTTGCATAAAGAGTTAAGAACTTAATGTATGTTTTAGAATGACACGTTCCAATAAATCTTTCTGCAGTAACAAACTCATTCTATTTTTGTGATATACAATACAGTAGTCACCAGACATATGTGGATATTGAGCACTTTAGATTTTTCAAATTGAGGAGCTAAGTAGCTGAATTTTTAATGTCATGTTTTAATTAATTTACACTTAAATTTAAATAGCCACGTGTGGTTCGTAGATACTGCATATCAGACAATGCAGTGTTGGAAAGTTCTCTCCAGCAAATTCCCAATAGGACACAGATGGAACATTCAGATTAGGATAATTCAATGGAAGTTTATTTATAAAGGAACTTTTTCCAGATGTGTAGTTTAGCTTTAAGGGAACCATGAGAGAGTACAATTAACCACGGTAGTTATATGGGAGCAATGATGAGGTAGACTTGATGGAAAGACTCATAGTTAAGATTATATAGATCTAAGCCTGAATCCTACCAGGACCATATTTATAAAACGCAATAATGATTTTAATGAAATTTCATTGAATGAAAGATCATACTCAGAACTGTTCTTTTCAGTTGAATATTTCCTGCAGTTTGTTTCCTGATGAAGAATATGACTGCTGGCTCTGTGCAATGCTGATCCACACCACATTTTCCCAGTCTTTTCCCTGACACTCCCTTAAAGTCATCCCTTTTCTAATAGCAGGACTGTGCTGACCCAATAATGGCTCCTGTCAAGGATTCCTTTAAGAAGCATCATCTCTTGTCAGCACTTGGAATATAGGAAAGTTCTCACTGTTATCTGTGGTTGTGTTTTAATATCCTGCCATTTCCATTCCTCATCTCAGAACACAGAATTCTCCTTTGGTCTTAGCTCATTGCTTGATGATTTGTTAAGGCTCTGAAAACAGAAGGAATGAGGGCTTTTAAATAGGATGGGGCTATTTCTCCTTGCTTTATTTATTTTTATGCCATGCAAAAGGAATAAAGAGGCATAAAATGGTTCAACTGAAGCCAAATAAATCTGGATAAATAGAGCAAGGACCCAATAAAAAACTAGAGGTGAAAAAGAAGAAAGGTGTGGGTGGTTGGAGGTGGGGCTTAGAGGGAGAGAAAAGGAAGGAAGAATGAAGAACTTTATATTTCCTTAAATGTTAGGGACTGCTTATCATTACCTGGAGAACAAAATGTCTTTGATCCAAGGAAACATTTTGAACTAAGGTTAAGCTCTGAGTAAAAATTAGGAAGTCATCATTGTTGTCCTTATTGAATGTCTTCATGCTGTCACCTCCTGTCATCCTTTATTAAAGTTTCCTATGCCTCTGCTGCTAGGTCTGAGAAGACTGACATCTTTTAGTTGTTCTGATGAATCACACCATAGAAGCTAGTGATTATTTTTTACAGCCAACACTATAGGAGTCTCCCATATTATTATTGATACTGTGTGGGTATGTGTGGGTAGAATTCTTTCTCCCACTCCTGCTCCCTTCACCCCCTTTTTTCTGATGTCTCTACTTTCAT